CAAATATTTCCACACAGGGAGACCGAGGGCAAATGTGCGTAGTGTTTTCTAAGAAGAGCAAGGCCTGTGAGGTGGAGTTGACAGGAAGGTGGAGGAGGAGGAGGACTGGGAAGCAGGAAAGGGAAGGAGAAGGAGGAAGAGGAAGATGGAAGGGAGAAGGGGGAGGGAAATGTGTAGGGTAACAGAAACTAACACACTTAGAATCCTGTAGCTGTTCAGTTTTGATTTATTGTTCCCCCTCTGAGTAAAATAAGCTCTTGAGAAAATGTGTGATACAACACACAGTTCTGAAGGATGTCTGCAGGAAAGAGCTGGATGAAGATGAGGCTGCTGAGGAGGCCAGGTCACTTCCAGATAGGAGAGAGAAGCCAGAACAGTCGCCAGACGGGGGAGGACTCTGGGACCACCTTGAAAGAATACTTGACATTGTTTACAGAGAAACCTTCGAATGCATTTCAACTTGGCACTTGAAGGCCTGACACTGCTGTCATTCATCGGGAAGGGAAGCATACAGGGGAGGCATGAAGTGGATTGGGTATTTAGTGCTGAGTGGGTTAAGGCAATGTTGACAGGGAGGGGGTGCTGTGAGTCTGTTATGACCTGCGGGCCTGTTCAGCACAGCATGGCATTCCAGCTGGAAACTGGAAGAAGCCATCAGAAAAGCGAGTGTAGGTGGAGAAAATGGCGACAGAAGGACCAAAGGAAAGAAAGGCCAGAGCGCATGGGAAACGAGTTAGTACTCCAAAATCAGTGTGATGACAGGGACTCGGGAACAAAAATGACTCATTCCACTCACCTCTGATGGGAAGTTGCAAAAAGAAAAGGCTAAAGAGGCCCTTTCATGAGGTCTTGTGAAAGACACTGAAGACCTTGCTAAAAGTTGGGGTGTCGCTAATGAGAGTCTCTCCAAGATCATCATCAGAGTTAGAACAGTGATGCTAAGTCCCTGGTGCTCACAGCTTGTCCTAGGACTCATGACACTGGTCACTGGGCATTTTATTAGAAATGTAGCTTTTTGTGCTCACTCCAGATGATTGCATCAGAACCTCTGCAGGGACCCATTTAACAGCAGGGTGACTTCCATGCACACTCAAGTTTGAAAATCATGTCCCAAAGTTTTACTCAGCTGTCTCTAGGAATATTGAACTTATGTTTGTCTCTTTGCTTCTCAAATATGATACATTTAGTGTGTTTATGTGTGTGTGTGTGTGTATGTGTTTCAGTGAATCCATGTTATCTCTAAAATCTTCATCATTCCTTTGTTTTACTTATTTACTTGTGTGTGTGTGTGTATGTGTTTCAGTGAATCCATGTTATCTCTAAAATCTTCATCATTCCTTTGTTTTACTTATTTACGTGTGTGTGTGTGTGTGTGTGTGTGTGTGTGTGTGTGTGTGTGATATGTACCCCTGTGGGTACAGAGACACACACACACAGTACAGAAGTCAGCTCTTCTGGGTGTCCTTTGCTATCACTCTTTGCTTTATTCCCTCGACAGGGTCTCTCACTGAGCCTGGAGCTAGGCTGGTAGCCAGTAAGCTCCAGGGAGTCTCCTGTCTCCCCCACCAACCCCCACTAACACAGTAAGGTTGCCGGTGCATGCACAACATCCCCGACTCTTTTGCACACATACTCTTACCCACTGAGCTATCTCCCCAGCTCTGATGTCCTTCTTAAAGGATTCTATGTCCTTTGGGGGTGGAAACTGCTGTGTGGTCCAATTGAGACAATGATGTGTTCTCCTGGCTCTATTATCTCTGCAGAAGAGCTAAGTCGCTGGAAATAGGGAACTGTATAGTCCCCGAAACCTCTGGCATGAATCTGAGCTTACCAAATCTTCATGAAATATGTTAGAGAATTCGCCCTCCCATCAGCAGAACATATATATTGCTCAGCTAAACAAGGATGGTTGTATCGGGCAAGCTTTCAGTGACAGGAGAAAGGACAGACATGGTTCTTAAAAGCCTTTTCTGTCGTCAGTGGACAGGGGCATGAGCTGCTCGTCAGTTTGGCTGCAGCAAGCAGCAGAGAGCTGGAAGTGGGTTTGAAGAGGATAAATGCTTCCCATTCTCGCAGCGGCAGGAAGAGGACCAAGGACGGGCCTTTTGTGCTTAGGATACTGCATCATGCTTTGGTTTTCAGTCATTCGTCCTGGTCTTCTGAAAAAGCTCCCCGGGAGCTCTGCTTTTCATTACATAAACCATCAAAAAACATTAAAACCCCAAGACATCATTTCCAGGACCCGTTCCAACTTCCCCACTTCCAAAGAAAAACAATAATGGAGAAATAGCTATACTTTAGCAAATGTTTGGGTTTTTTTTCTTTCACTTTCAGAAAGAAATGAATTTAGGATAACTATTTCAAAATTTTCTTTTGTAAGAGTTTGCTTTAGTTAGGATTAAGTTTGGTTGTGGTAAAGAAAATAATAAGCAAAACCAGGATTTTTTTTTTTTTAAGATGAGGTTTCACCATGAAGCCCAAATCTGTGGTCAAATTTTAATCCTTCCCAGTCCATCTCCCCCATGCTGGGCTAACAAGTGTGATACACTTCACCCTCCAAATGCTTATATTAGGCAATATTTTATTTGTTTTTTTTTTTTTCAAGACAGGATTTCTCCATGTAGTTTTTGGTGCCTGGTCCTGGATTTTGCTCTGTAGACCAGGCTGGCCTCAAACTCACAGAGATCCACCTGCCTCTGCCTCCCGAGTGCTGGGATTAAAAGCATGTGCCACCACCACCCGACTCACAACATTTTATTTATATCTCAAATCCTACAAGATCCCAGGTTCTTCTCTTCTTGCCCTGCCAGCTATTGTCTCCAGGCCCAGAGTTTCCTTGAGGCCAGAAATACCCAGTATAACTCCACCTTCACCTATCACATCTCTATTGTAGGCTACAAGGAGGAGACTTGGGAATGTCATAGATCTGCTGGCTTCAGAATATACCCAGAGTCGGAATACCAACTCCATGTCCATAGGCAGTATGCACTCATACGGCTGTCAGGGAGGCTGGGGAGTCTTGAATTCATCCACATGGCCTCAGCCCAGATAAAATCATTGCTTAGGAAAAGGAAACTATCTTATGAGGGCACCTCGTAGTGTCTCGCGATGCTTTCACTTGCTAATAAAACTTATTTGTGAAATGTGCTTGCTATTCAGGGAGAGTAATAGGGTGACAGATCACAGGACCAGATGTCAAAGGACAGAACTTTAGTCTTGGTGGTATAACTTGTCACCAAATTGTGTGACCCTGGAGAGTGACAGGAGGATTTTTGAGAAATGAGGCAAAATAACAATGAGCTTTCAATCCAGATTTGGTCTTACAAATGCATGATTTTGTTTCCTGATCTGTAAAGTAGAAAGAACAGTCAATAACTCACCCAGCTGTTGAGAGGGAGAGGGGACCTGAGTAGGTCAGGCACATGATTACTATTTAGGTGGCACTGGTTTATTTTCTGGAGCTTCGATTCCATCCCTGATGCGTGTGTGTGTGTGTGTGTGTGTGTGTGTGTGTGTGAGAGAGAGAGAGAGAGAGGGGGGGGGACACCTCATACCTATATACAAAGAGAAATTGTTTTTCAAGGCTTACATAAACTATCCCAGAAAATAAAAATTTTCTCAATTATTTGAGAAGCTAGAATAGCCAAAGCTGAGAAAAATGAGACAGCAGCAAAGGAAAATCACAAGCCTGCCTCACTCATAAACACACACACACAAAAGCTCCATATTAGCAAACTTGATCCACCAATGTGTTAGAATAAACAGAACACCGACACTTTCCATTTACTTCAGAAGGAAAACGTTGGATTAACATAAAAATGATCTATTTCAAGAAAGTGATGTGATTCACTATTTTGTAAAATATAATTCACTCCTTAAAGGAAAGAAGAAAAACCATACGAACATTCGAAAGAGAAGACGGTCAACGATATTGTTGTGGTCTGAAAGTGAATTGCCCGCCACAGGCTCCTGCATTTCGACATCCCCAGCTGATGGCTCTGTTTTGTAAGGTTGTGGAAGCTTGAGGAGGAGGAACCCTTCTTGCAGGGAGTGAGTCACTGGGCAGGGGCTGTGAACTTGGAGGTTTTAAGCCTGGCCCTGCTTCCTGTCTGCTCCCTGCTTCCTGGCTGGGGAGGCAATGTGATGCCTCCCACTCCATGCCATCTCCACCATGATGGTTTGTACTTTCACCCCCTAAGACAAAATAAATCTTCCCTTTAATTGATCACAGCAATAAAAACATAACTGATACAGAAATTAAACATGAAATTCTGATTGAAAGACGATAGTGCAAAACAAAAACACTCTTAGCAAATTAGAAATGGAAGGAAACCTCTTTACCATGACAGAAAGCATGTAACAGCAGCGACAACAAAACAGTAAAACGTTGATAAGGAGTATAACATCACCTTTAGCAAAGAAGCTTGAGAATATGTTTTCGATCAGAGGAAAGTCAAGCATCTATCACTGTTTTCACTCAAGAAGGATCCTACCACAGCAAAACAAATAAAAGAAATATAGACGATGTGGTTAATATTAGTTTCCCGCTTCATAGTGTCACTGCTCCAGAGTCTGTAGGACCTGGGAGAATAGAGCCGATGATTGAGGCAGACTAAAGTCTCATGCAATAGCCAGCTTTATTCAGAGCATTAGACAATTTATACTTGGAGAATTAAGAAAAATCATATGAGTAAAGTTCACATGAGTTCAAGCTGTATATAGTCCCAAGGACAAACCGTGCAGGGCACAGACATGTTTTTTTCCACAGAAGCACACAAAGAACAGTTAAATATCAACTGAATAACAAAAGCAAGTGGTAAGAGATAATCTGAAGTAAACCCACCCTGTCTGTTGCAGCTGATGGAGCACAAAACACATTCTAAGAACCATTCTGTGTTTTGAAAAACCTGAGGTCACAAGACTCTTGTCCTGTCTTCTTTGAGAGTTCTCACAAGAATGGAGAATTCTCTTCACATGACTCTATTCCTGGATCGTGTTCTACCAGATGGAATCTAGAATTATCCCGCACAATCCTCTGGATCTCTCTAGATTGGGCTGATTGGAGCAGAAAGACAACTCTGAATGTGAGTAGCACCATTTCGTGAGTTAGAGTTCTTGTCAAAAAGGAGAAAGTGAACTAGGGACTTTCTAGCATTTCCCTCCCTCTGCTTCCTGATTATAGACGCAATGTAATACTACTTCACACCCTTCCCACCGTGCCTTTCGCCACTTTGAAGCACTATACCCTCAGACTGTGGGGTGAAATAAGCCCTTCCTTCCTGTATTAGCCAGCAAGCACCAGGGATCCATCTCCAGCCCCTACCACTGTGGCTATAGGCACACTGCCATGCTTGGCTTTTCACAAGAGTGCTGGTGATCTGAATCCAGGGCTCTCTGCTTGCATAGAAGACACGGATCAGTTCACCTCTCTCATCTGTCCTGTTGTCATCCATTTCTTACCATCCCAGGCCTTCTTCTGTATCCATCCCATGAAAGTGTGTTCTAGGAGACACCTAAGCAGGAAGCAGAGTGAGGATTAGCAGGTGTTTCCTGCATGTGGAAGAAGAGGAAATGCTCCATAAGCAACAGGTAAAAGACTCGGGAGGAGGGCCTCATTCTCTCCCTCCCTCCCTCCCTCCCTCCCTCCCCACCTCAGTTGACCAGGAATGTTGGTCTTCTCTGGGTTAGTTTTGTATAGGTAGCATAGGGTAGGAGATCATAGCCTGCCACCAAGCATAACCACCTACACTTAAATTCTTATTCTGTGCCTGCCTTAATCTGCTTGAACAAAATACAATCTCTTCACCTGTAAAATGGGGGCAGTTATGATGTGTCCACGCTGCAGAATCGTGTGAGATGTGGGTGAGTCTCTCCATCCAAGGGTTCAGTTTCGAGTACTGGGTGCCTACCAGCTGGCATTAGAGTTGAGTGTGAAGGGAGGAGAGCATCTGCATCCATGTCCAATGCTTTCGATTCCTGCCCTTCCACCTTCTGCCCTGACAGTGTCCAGGTGTCTTTTCATTCCTGCGACCATTCTCATTTTACCACTGTTTTCCCTGTTCCTAACAATATAACTATTTGCCTGCATGGTCTAGTTTTTATGAAATTAAAGGAAAAATTATTAGAATAGGAAGAGGAGTTCTTCGTGGCCTGGCAGCATCCAGGAAGGCAGGATTAACTGTTACCAGGTCATAGGCTGGGATTGCTCAGAGCAAGGTATCCCAAGGCTGCAAAAGGAAAGTGGAAGCCAGGCTGGGCTGAGAGAGCACAGCCTCTCATGCACACAATGGTTACAAATAGCAGAGGACCAGGGGCTTCAACACAGGGCTAAGAGAATATAGAGTGAGTGCACTAAATAGATTACATGACCTTGAAATTGAAGGGAAAAGTCTGCTGTTTACAGAATTGAGATGAAAATCAGTGTTGGGGAAAAAACTCATGATAGTCTCACAAAGACCATCCTGAAAACATGGCTGAAGAAATTTAGGTGGGGATGTAGCCCAATGGGCAGAGTACCTGCTTAGTACTGTATATGCAGAGCAAAGTGGCACATGCCTGTAAATCCAGTACTTACAATATGATGACAGGAAGATCAGCGGTTCAAGGACACCTTGGGCTACCCAAGACCTTGGCTCAAGTTTTAAAAAAAGGGGGGAGGAGAGAAGAAGAAAAAGAAAAACAGGTTATCAGAACATTTGGCCAGTTTCCTGTAAAGGAAAAAAAATGTTGCAACGAGAAGAACAAAAACACTGGTTTTAGCATCTGGTGAGACTGGTGCCCGAGAACAGAGAGGTCAGATTTTAGGACCGGAGAGGGGAGAAACAAAGCAGGCCTGCGTGTCGTTCACTAGTCCAAAGAAACAGTATTCGCACCTCAACAAAAGCTTGGAACATTCATTGTCCTTGTTCCCTTAGTGAGAAATTTCCTTGAAATGATACACAGATAAAATGATACTCAGATTAAAAACGCAAAGCAAGAGCAAGGCAGACTACACTGACCTGCAGGGTTTCTTTGTTACAGGGTACCACGTTTTCTTGTTTGTTATTTGGAGCCATTAAATTTCCTATAAACAATAGTCCATGCAGCAAATATTAGTAAAATGCCACTCAAGGAAAACTGCTTTTTAATAATAAAATGCAATAGTACACAGAGCCACTGGGATCCTCACATCTTGAATATGGAAGACCCACTTTAAGTAAACCTCTCTCTCCTCTTTCACCCAGTGCTTACTAATGTTCCTTGTGACTATACTTCAGTCTGTGCATTTTTTCTTTTAAATATATTTTATTTATTCTTTGGCAATATTATAATGCACACAATGGGTCTTGATCAATCCACTCCAAACTTCTCCTCTCACCCCTTTTCTCATAGCCCACCCCCATAACTCTCCTTCCCACCTTCCTGTCTTCTTTGTTTATAACCCACTGAATCCAATCAGTGTTCACTACTGGAAGGCCAACTGAACCGGCTGGCTTGATCTTATTCAGGTCTTGGGCAGCTAACCACAGCTAGAGCTCATGAGTGCAATGGCTATGACATGTTGTGAAGACGGCTTTTCACTGCACTCCCCACGACCCTTTGGTTCTTAGATAATTTCCTCCACTTCTTCCACCATGTTTCCCAAGCCTTGAGAGGGTTGACATAGATGTCCCATTTAAGGCTGAGCATCCAGTCATCACAGATCTTCAGCATTTTGACCAGTCTCTGTCTAAACTATTGCCCACTGCAAAAAGAGGCTTATCTGGCCAAGTCTGAGGACAGCACTAATCAACCAGTGTAAACATCAATATTTAGAAGAGTTTGACAACATGTCCATTTAACAAAACAACAATAGCAGGTTCCCCACTAGCCTATGATCCCCTGAGCCATGGGCTTCTGCCCAGGTTTATAATACCCAACAAGAATTTCTTCCTGTAGAACAGGCCAGAAAGTGGTTGGTTACCTCCCCAAAGTTCATGCCACTATTGCATCAACGGGCACCCCTTGCCTAGCAGATCAGAACAGTAACATTCAAAAAGTTCACTACTCAGTAATAGTCATTGATAAATTTTCTTCTTCAGCAGTTTTCATAACACCTTCTGGTGCTATGAAGGCAAGCCAAAAGGGAGAAAATTTTCAGGTCAGTTCCAGTTTGATCTCTCTCTGTCCTGCAACCAAAGTTCATGGTGTATTCACCAATAGGGTCTTACCATCTAGTTAGGGTGAACAATGAAGAGTGTGTGTTTTGTTTTCAACTCTATAAACTTGAATAAAAAATGAACAGAAGCAATGTTAGGACATGTTTGCCATGTGATAGGAACCTGGGTGATTTGTTCTTCCATTTTGATTTTCATCTCCACCTCCAAATTTTCCACCCTTAACCAATGAATATTATGATGAACAAATACTGTATTGGTGGTTATGACAATGATATTAAAGTCAGTATATGCAATGTAATACATGTCATAGGGTTAGATTCAGGTATGACATATACTAGGAATGGTCCTGAAGGTAAGTACATTTAATGAGCAGTTACAGATTGCTGCAGCACTGTGGAGATTTTGTGATCTCCCCCTTGTTTCTTTCTGCATTTCCCACATGTTCTGTAACGTGTTATTTTTGTAGTGAAAAATCAGGTGGCAATAAAGCCAAATAAATCCACAGGACCTGGGCCAGCCAGGTAGGACTGAGCAGGGCGGTTCTCTGGATCTGAGGCTAGGGGGAGTGCTCAGAGAGCTTCTGGAAGCACGCTGCATTGACTCTTCCTGGTCTCTGACAAGAACAGGTCCCCAGAACTCCTCCTGGGATGCCTTCTACGTATGTGAATGTATTGATACATAATCTATATACTAATATATTTGAGCATCATCTTTGTGAAAACTCAGACATTGTTAACTAAAGCTAAATTCTCACCTTTTCTCTAGCCCCAATTCTTGAGGTTTTTTTTTTTTTAATTTGTTTGTTTTTTGGTTTGGGTTTTTTGTTGTTGTTATTGTTGTTGCTGGTGGTGGTCATGGTGTCAGTTTTTTCTTTTTTTTCTTCTCTTTTCTACAATAATTTTTCAAGACAGGGTTTCTCTGTGTATCCCTGGCTGACCTGGAACTTGCTCTGTAGACCAGGCTGGCCTCAAACTCAGAGATCTGCCTGTCTCTGCCTCCTGAGTGCTGGGAATAATGGTAAGCACCACCAAGGCCTGGCCTCCAATCCTTGTTTTCAGTCTTGATTAGTTATATGTGATAGAATGAATTTGCCCTTATTGTAGCTGATGGTGAAATCCCAACTCACTCAGATTTTTCTACAATTATAAACATATTAACTTCTATAAAATTTTATAATTTTGATTTATGTTTATTTTATTAATGTTTACATCCCTAGTGGTATTTCAAACTCTACCATTTTCCAGACAATGTCATCTCATGGGGAACTTTCATTAACCACCATTTAATGCTGCATTTTTATTTGGTATGTGTACAGAGATATGAACTTCCTGGGGGGGTGATAAAAATTTTTTTTTTTAATTTAAGCATTCTACAACGCCTGCCTGCTTTCATTGCTGTAAAGAAACTGGCAATGAGCGTGCTTCCCATGCATATTTTACATGTTCCTAGTGGAGAGCCTGAGGACTAACGGAGCATAAGGCATATGTATTTTTAATTTAAAATATATCACCCTCTAATGCCTCCCCAGGATGTCTCATCATTAGCAGTCGTGGAAGAGCACTCAAAATCACTAGGTGTTATCAACCTCATTCTATCGGATGAAGAACTACTGCATTAATGGGACGGGTGAGATGGCTCGTCATTTAAGAGCACTTAACTGCTCCTCCAGAGCACCCAAGTTTGGTTTCTAGACCCACGCCAGGCCTGTAACTGCAGCTCAGGGGATCAGGTGCCTTGTTCTGGCCTCTAGGGGTTCAGCACCCTCTCACATAAATAATAAAATGAATCAGTCTTTTTAAAACACAGATATTGCATTACTGCTTTCTGTTGCATTTCCCTGATTACCAGTGGAGGTTGAGCCTAGGGTTTTGGCCCTTTACCATTTCAGCCCTCCCTCCCTTCTTGCTCTGCCTCAGCCAACTTAACTCCCGTCAGACTCAGGTTGG